AAACTTTATTAATATGCTTTTCAGTATTAACTTATATTAAACCGTCAGTATTAAGTATCTACTAATTTTTAGTAATACCACCCCATTACCCTTCCCAGCCCTTCCAGGAATAATTAACGATGTTGTTTACAAATAATCCGGCAATTAGGGTTCCTTTATTGTAATCAATCGTTATTTGATTTGTTTACGCATTCTGGTTTTTGTATTTTTTAAACTTATATTTGTGTTTAAGATATTTATTTTCATCTCAAACATCGTTGAGTAAGTTTGGTTTTTAAAATTACACCGTGGTTTTTATTTAGTGGAAAAAATTATAAAGTTTTTAAGTGGACATAGTGCGTTTTTGTCATGGATAGGCGTCACACCTATAAAAATTCAAAGACACTATGTGCTTTTAGAAAAAATAGAAGTCTCGCAAGAAAGAGGTAAGTTTTTTTTAGTTAAGTTAAAGTAAAACAAAAAACAGTAAAATTAGAAAATATTTGCAAATGTTTATTTCTGCAAGAGTATAAACATAAAATACTAGTTATTTCATGTAAAACAAATAAATTATTTGACATCTATGAAATGTCATAACTAGGGTTACCATATTCAGAAATACAATTTCCTATATTCCTAATAAAAATTCCCTACATTTCTTTAACAATTCGGACAAAATAATAAAACTCCGGACAAAATAATAAAACTTCGGACAAAATAATAAAGCTCCGGACAAAATATTAAAACTTATGAAATTATTACTAAACGTTTTATTAAAAAAGTACCTACCGTCAAAAACTAGAAACAAAAACAGTTCGTCAATTAAAAATTCATGAAATTAAACAAGAAACATATAATAGAAATGATCAAATATAAACTGTGATGAAATAAAAAAATTATAATTTTAACTGCCAAAAGAACTGTTTATATGTATATGCGGAATTTTAAGTATATCCTAATACGTTTGATTACAAAGGCCTGCGTTTAAATACTCTGTAAAATGTGAATTGAATTTTTCAATTGAAATTGGGTATTTTAGTGACGCTGATTTCAAATCTGCTTTTAGTTTTTTTCTATCACGTAAGGTTTTTAAACAAAATACTATAATAATGCAAAAAGTAAAAATATATTTATAGATACTTAGGATAAAAACGAAAATAATAATCCCAGAAAACAAACAATAAAACTGGGGAAGTAGTTAAAAAATAACACATTAAATCTTCGTTTTCTTGAAAAATCTTTCTCTCTTTCTAGAAAAGCTTCTTTTTTTGTTTTTCGTGCATATTCTGCGGTAGGACGGTTCCTTTTAAGCATCCAACAGTAGTCGGCCATCATTTTGATATCCCAGCGTCCTTAATATCGCCGTTCCATCTCTTTTATGTCCTGGTGAAAGCGCTCCCCTTGCTCTTCACTGACATCGCCAAGATTATCCAGAAAATAGTCAAGATGAGCATGTAGAAAATGAATTTTTAAGCTCATGTTACAACCTAACTTTCTAAATTTGTCCAACATGTTTTCAACAATACTTTCAAATTCAGGGTCTTTTAGTTTCCTAGAAACTTATTTATAACTTGTTTAAAAGCTGTTCATGCTTCTTTTTCGTCTTCCTGCATAACCGTCTCAATTTCATTAGTTTTCATCAATCTTCTTATTTGTGGCCCAACAAAGATGCCTTCTTTTAATTTAGCTTCAGAGAGATCCGGAAATGTTTCATTTTTGTCTAGAGCTTTGACAAATTGTTTCATCAACCCCAATTTTATATGTAGAGGGGGAATAAAATTTTCTCGGGATCAACTAGGCTTTCCCGAATTAAGTTTTTGGAGCCAGGCGTTAAATTTTTTCTTGGTGGTCAGTTTTTTTCGGTCCAGTGATCAATCTCTTGCTCTACTGTCCCACTCACATAGGAAGCATGGGTATTTCGTATATCCGGGTTGTTGACCTAAAAGCAACCCAAAAATTTTAAGGTCACCACATAAAATCCAGTTATGTTGTCTGTAGTTTATTCTTAAAAGCAGTACCTCAAGATTTTCGTAATTTTCTTATAGCTGAGTAGAATGACCAACAGGAACAGATGCATATAAATTGCCATTATGAAGTAGAACAGCTTCTCTTTGAAGAGCCTATAAAAAGTCTCCACTCGGCAGGATTGTATTTAGGAGCACGTACCTAGGTGAATAACCAAGTCAGATACATTTTGACAATATACAAGTGAACCAGCTGCGGCAAAGTAATTGAAAAATTCAGCCTCACGATTTCTAAACCAATAAAATGTAGTACCTGGAGCAAGTAATTTTTTTTCTTTAAGCATTGATCCTAAAACCTCAGAGAGGTCTTTTGGAAGTCCCAAATCCCTGACTAAGTCATTCAGTTCTACTTGAGAAAATAGCTGCGGTTCACGGGTTCCTGAGGTAGATGGCTTAAAAATGTAAATTTCTGAATCTGTTGAAGATTCTGATTCGATAGACTGTAATACTTTAGATGGAACAGGTATATCATCGTCATGTGGAACTGGTCTTATTGCAGACGAAAGATTAGGATAGTTGATATACTTATTTTGTGTTATGATCTTTAATATCACAAAGACAAAAATAGCAGTCGTCAATGTGATTTTTAGGTTCTCTCCAGATTATTTGTATTCCAAACGGTAGGGCTTTTCTTGTTCCGTTAAACCAATGCCTCAAGGCTTCTTCGCAAATCTTGCAGATAACATGTGGCGCCCAAGATTTATCTTGATCTTCAAGTTTGACTTTAAAATATGCAAAATATGCATTTTTTACGAAATCAGTAAAATTTCTTTTAAACTTCTTCACTATAAAGTGTCCACAAATATAACAAAAGTCATCAGGTTTATTTTTACAACACCTACTAGACATTTTTTTAATAGAAAGTGCACAACGAAACACCGATAGAATTCGATAGACAACGCCTGTCTCAATACCACGGGGATACTAAATATATCGCCCTCTTTCCTGAATAAATCGAGTCTCGGGGAAACCCCAACAATATTTTAGTAAGTACCGGTAAATCCCCCTACAAATGCGCAAATTAAAACGAGGTTTTAACGCGTCTCAACGTTTTTGAACAAAAATAAGGAATTCAAATTAATTTGTTTGTGATGTTCAGGTAAAATACCCTTGATACTAGTTTACAAAAAAGTTTACGTGATAGAATAAAAAGGGGGTTATTTTAGCTATATAGAAGTTGTAAATAGGTGAAAAAAAAAATAAAATGGCTAGATCACAAAATTTTCGCGGGCCTGTGTTATTTTCTTGAAAATTCCGGACAGTTTGTAACTCCCGGCACATTCCAGACAAAACGCCAAAATTCCGGACATGTCCGGCTTTTTTTTCTGATGTCTGGTAACCCTAGTCATAACCAGTATTTATGAATATTTGTTTACCATGTCGACTAGATTGCAGTCACACTTATTTTTAAGCCGACGAAATCTTATCCATTTGCCTACCTATTTCATTGCTATTCTAAGCATCAAAATTGGAACCTTCTCTTACATATACAACCCTATATTACTGCAGCTGAGTCTCAGCCTCGCCATGTTGTTTTAATTAATGTGATTCACCCTCTGGTCTTTGCGCTCCTCTCTGCGCGTTGTATTCATAGTGTAACAGATGTTCGTATAGTTACAATTTTGCTGGAAGGTTACAATGCTAGTATAAATGACGTATATTTTCCAATTCAAATACGTCATTGACTTTGAACATATAGGTGTGGTTATTAAATTGCCAACAATTTTCTTCAGTTTCATAAATATTTTCAAAAGATCTTCAAAATAAAATACCTGGTATTCAATTTTATAAACGTAAAAATTGTACCTGCTTATCGAAATCATTGTGTGGTCTGTTGACAACAAATAGATATATTAAGGGATTAATTCAGAAACATTCCAAAGTCTACTCCATTGTTGACTATTGATTATGCAGGCTTCGGCTTAAACCGTAATTACTCAGTCATTTCGATAGAAAGTCATTTAAAAATAATTATTTTTTTTTCTCAAAACCGGTCTTTTGTGTTTGAATTAACCGGAAATGACAAGGTAACTTTTAATTTGAAACATGGGTATCATTTAAAACCGCCTTTTTGTTATCTATCTGGTAATTTACAAGTTACAAATTGTTAAAACAGCGGAAAATACCTATAATGAAACACCCAGTACCCTATTTGTTTACAATAAACTATTAAATACCTAATCCTAATCAAGTAGGTCATTTAAAATGTTTATAACCTTTCCATTTGGAAAATAAATAACTAATTACTTACCTATAAATAGTTTTTATAGGTATTTACGTACGCAGCCAGTAATGCTTTACCTGAAAACAGGTATAGCGGCAATTAAACTGGATTATCCCTCCCAGACTACAGCCCTAAATTAAATTATACAAAGCCGTGTAACCCTGCAGTCGGTAGCGAGTTTACGTTATTGTGCAGTAAACGGTTCGAAAATAATATTTTCCCAGCGCTGTAAATTGTAAAAAAACAACTTTACATTTTTTAGATTAAATACAAAACTTAATTACTTTAAAAGTAGTAAATATCTGTATAGAAACGTGTTGTGATTAATAATAAATAATCATTTGAACATTTCTTATCTAAATATTATCAGTAAGTTATATAAACAGAGATAGCTTTAATTTTTAAGTGTAAACTGGAATACCAATTAAAAACTCACAACGCTACAACAGCGATAAATTGGTATCCTCGATTTACAATGCACCCATTATTCTCAAAAGCGCTGTAAGCAACAACTAATTTCCATTTGTATTTGTTCAACAGCGTAAACCGTCCCCCGCTCTCCCTTCTCGCTCCTATCCGCCCGAGATATTTTGCTGTTGCTAGGCGAGGACAACCGATCGAGTTTCACGTATCCGACCGGTTCGAACAAAGAGAGTTTCACGAGTTTCATCATCGGCCGCCCCACCACGAACGGTTTTAAGTGGTTTAGCTGCGCTATAACCCGCACAACCACAGCCTAGCTGCCTCCTTGTCCCCTCTGTTGTGCGTTCCCCTCGCCCCTCGCTGCGGGCGAGCGATAGACAGAGACAGTTGTTCACTGTACTTGGGTTTCTGAACTGAACTGCACAGTACAGCTCTGTGTGTTGTGTGTGTTATTCTACTTTACTTTACTACGACTTTCGTGCCGTGTATTTAGAATCGAATATCAAAATCAAGATTCACGATATTTATACACACCGGTGTGTGCGTTGATTCTATTTTAGTGTAATCCTAATTAATATTCACTGAGTGATATTTAGTGACATTTGTTTAGTGGTAACGCTACGACTAGCGGAGGAATTTAGGCGTTCATATCATAGCCAGACAACGTTGTCTGATTGAACTGTTAACAATGCTTGTGAGTATATTTTACTGTGGTTTTAAACGATACGTATGTTGCGCAATGCGATTTTACTATTTGTGTTTTTCGCTTCGTTTTAATATGATATCACGCGATTGACGTTTTTTAAAAGTATCGGATGAATTATTTTTGTTTGCCGGTTTCGGTTTTTCATTTTATGTTCCATTTAAATAACATCGTGATGTTTTTAAAATAGGAATTTCTAATCTTAAAATTAGATAGGTAGGTTTATTGGTTAAAAGAATATGATTGTAGTCAACATATTTGTAGTTACCTAATTGACGTTTATCAGACATATTTTTTGTTGAATACCTACTTAATGAATGCCTAGTTATAACCTTTAATTTCGAATAACGATTTATGATGTACCTACTTATTAATACATAGGTATTTTGGAGGTTATAAGTACAATGAATGTTACATGGTATTTCTAAAATGTAGAAAATTGATAAAAATAAGTTGACTCTTGTTGTTTTAATTGCAATCTGACGTTTACAAATAATGTTCTGACGGTTTTAATCTAATGAAAATCTCAGTCAGTGGTGGGTTCAAGGCTCGGTGACTTGGTTCAATCAAGTAAAATAAAAGTTGATGATTTTTTGTGGCATTGTTCAGGTCAATGTGACCTTTATAAACACGACTTTTTCTGAATAATGGCCATTTTTTTTATTGAAACAGTGTGGTTGGAGGGAACTATTTTTGTCTTGGGTTTTACGATACAAAATCTATTGTTAGGTTATGTAAAAGAGATTTATATAGGTATTTTTAGGAGTAAGAAATTGGGCAAACAAAACAGCGTGCACTTAAGAGTTAGGTGCGATAACAACAGTTCCTTATTAGTGACGTAATTAGGTTATACTGTTAATTACAATGACAATAATAGACTTATAAATATAGAAGGTATAGATAATAATTAACCTTTTATTTCTATTTTTAATTTGGTGTCATCGGCATCAACTACTTAGGTTATTAGCCGCTGTGTAGGCTTTGGTATTGTTTCACAACGCCACTTTAGGAAAAGCACTTTTAATTAGAACCCAACAGAGTGAATGTTCATGTGGGAAATCCTAGCTATGCATTTAAGTAATTAAATTAATTAAAAAATCCTGTAACCGGCATAATTCGAACTACTTAGGTTATTAGCCGCTGTGTAGGCTTTGGCATTGTTTTACAGCGCCACTTTAGGAAAACCACTGTTAATTAGAACCAAACAGTGAATTTTCACGTGGAAAATCCTGGCTATGCATTTAAGTAATTAAATTAATTAAAAAATACTTGTGGCATTCGGGGACTGCCGCGGTAAAGCTATTGCATAGCATTTTTTATCAACTTATGCAATTATAATTATTTATTTATTTATGCAGTATTTTTTTTTTCTTTGATATTAATTCAAGTTACACTTTTTTTTCTTTTATTGAATAAATGAGAAGTTAATATTGTTTAAAATATTTTTATTATCTTACAATACATGTAGGTTATTCAGGAATTTTTATCATTGAAATTATAGGTTTATGGTAACTGAAATAAGAAACATAAGTTTGAGACTTGATATCCTCTAAATATCTGGAAAATACCGCGTCGATGGTGGTCCCATATTTTGTTGTGGATTCTTGTGGATCATTATTCATTTTCAAATTCAATTTTTCCGAAATTGTGTCTAAAATAGATAGAATCAGTTAGCAGCTAGTCTACACGCATACGTCTAGTCGCACGCACACAAATACCGTGCCGAAGTCTGCCGAACTGAAACGACGTTAGACGATGCACGGCTTTCAACGCCGCACCGCTGTGCCGGTCGGAGTGGGGGGTGTTAGGTTTATTTTCGTTACGGAATTTCTGTTTCGATTTTCTTTTATTGAATAAATGAGAAGTTAATATTGTTTAACGCAGCACCGCTGTGCCGGTCGGAGTGGGGGTGTTAGGTTTTTTTTTCGTTACGGTCGTTACGGAATTTCTTGATTAGGTCGCCGCACTCAAAGCCCGCGATAAAAGTTATGCAATAGCTTAAAATTCTGTAACTGGCATAATTCAAACCCGGCACCCTTATATCCAAGAGTCTTGACTCTAACCACTGAGCCATTTACCCCCCTTTTATTTTTATCATTTCCAAGATTTTATTAATTTAAATTAAAGCATAAAAAATATAATTTGATTACAATATTTAATAAAAACTAAAAACGTGTAGGTATGTCAAATTCAATAACATAATTGTTTGTTTTTGTTACAAGTTAACTGTCATAAATTACGTTCATCATACTGTATTGGTAGAACTTGTGAGTCACTTGAGTCGATCTGGTTGCTAGTTGTTGGATAATGGAGGAATGTTCAGATAAGCAGAAGTTATTGAAGTATATTGAAGTAAAAGGACAAAATTTATTTTTATTTACCTACCTAAGGGTCCTTTGAAGATAGACGAACATCTTTTAGATACTCATTTATAGATTCTTCACTGGAGTCGATCATTATTTACGTACTTTTATCTAAAAAATATATTGACATACCTATTAATGAAAATGGAGTAAATTCATTAAGCACGTACAACCAAATTTTACATAAACACTTTGTTAAGGGTAATGTAATGAGATGTCAACTTTCAAATGAAAAGTTATAGCATTCCAACATCTCAATTATTTTTATTCCAAAATCTGATTTGGCTTCATACTTACTGAGTTTGTCCCATTTTTAACAAATCCTTGCCATGAGAGCGCGAATCATTGTTTAGTTAAAAATGGTATTTCAGTCCTTATCTGACATATATACAGTGATCCACTCCCCCACTATAACTTTTCAATGGTTAAAGCTTTTACCGCGTCATTTTGGGTGTTTATTTTAGAGTAGAGTTACTTTTTTTTTGACAGCCAATTCTTAGATGTAACATACAAGAAATTTAAAACTAAATTGACCATTTTGTGAATACGAGTATTTCAAATGCTTGGGGTTGATTTAAACATAGACGTCCTTAGGAAAAAGTCTGGGGGGGCCAATCAAAAAAATTTCTGTTTGTCAACTACTAAATTATTGTATACAGTGTGTCCCAGATTCGCTTCTCTATACAGGGATCTCGGCTTCTATTATACCTACAATAAAGGTTAAATGGGAAAAGATTTAGAGGTAACTTAGTGCTTTTGATAACCGGCTTCAGATTTACGACCGGTCAGTCGGCAGATTTCGTTTTTCGACTGTAAATCCGAAACGAATAATTTGACAGCTGTCAAAATGTGACATTATTGGGACACTTTTTTAAGACGAATAAAATAGCGTGTATGACATGTCAATGAAAACCCTAGTGCATCAGTAAGAACAGTAGAGCGGGAAATTGGTATGTCAAAATCAACGGTACAGAGAGTATTAAATAAGAATAAGTACCATCCATACAAACCCACAACAGTTCAAGGACGCATGCGCTTCTGTGATTGGTATACTAGGAAGTGTAATGCAAATCCCTACAGACCAGATTTGGAAGTAACGTTTGGTTAAGGATCATAATTGGACACCTATTATAAAATAATCATTTCTGGAAATCGACTTATAGGACCATTTTTGTTTCATTAAAACCTAAACGGACTAAGATACCTAGAGCTTCTGCGAAACCAGGTTGTGCTGGCTTTACAAGCTACTCTAACGGAAGATGACTTTAGAAGAACCTGGTTTCAACAGGATGGTTGCCCGGCTCACAACACCATTCAAGTCAGGAACTTCTTAAGAGAGCACTTTGATGAAAGAGTCATTTCACCTTTAGATTTCTACCTCTGGGATCACACAAAGAATGAGGTCTATGAATTTGATCATCCCGCGACCATAGAACTCTGAAGGGGGATAAAGTTTTTTTTACATTTTTTTTATATTTAATTTTGTCAATGGATAACTTTTCAAGAATATTGTGTGAAAATTTGAGTAGAATCGGAGCAAAACTAACGAAGATACAGCGGTTTGAGTAACCGCGCCTCATACATGACTCAGCGTATCAGAAAACACCTGCCCGGCCCGAGCGCGCTATTGTTACCTGGCAGCTGTTTCGCTCTCTATATAATCCCTAACCTTTCTTTATAGAAATTTCAACACAAGTACAAACGTGACTGTTTATACCTGTACTGTATATAATTTAGTGTAGCATTGGCCTGACAGGCTCTTTTGCTTTGCTAACCTCCATACCTCCATGCAAGACATGGGAATCAGTAGTAAAGCTTGATTACTATCCGAAGAGTACAACGCGCAGAAACCAGATTGAATTTATAGGCGGTAGGCGTGGTCACAGACCTCCCAGCGTCTTATTTATAATAGAATGCAACTGTTGCTGCGTTTGAGAATCCACATCGGATGCATCTGAGATGTAGTAAACCTTTGATCACGTGATTCAGTATACGTAAATGTAATGGGACAGATGTGTGCGATGTGGATAAAAAAACACTCGAGATGTAAAAAATGCATCCGATGTGGATTCTCAAACGCGAAATGTGCAGTATTATAAATAAGACGCTGGGAGATCTGTGACCACGCCTACCGTCTATAAATTTAATCTGGTTTCTGCGCATTGTAAAGTAATGTACTCTTCGGATAGTAATCAAGCTCTAGATCAAGCGCTCATGAATGAGGATTCGTCGTAGACAGGAGCAAAAAGATGCTTTAGACGTTATGGATGATAGCAACATCCTTTATGGACCTGGCGTCGATGATTCAGTGTGAGATAAGTCGATAAAACTTGCTTATGAACGTTTTATTCCAAATTTTTTAGTGTTCAAAACTTTAAAGCGTTTTTCCCACAACTCGCGTTTCCAAAAGTCATAACAAAACTACTGCAACTATCCTTTTGAAATTTTTATTACATTTGTGTACATTATTTACGAGGTAACGCTGGAGTGGAGAGTTTTATAATAACAAATTGGCCTATTTTTTTTATAGCAAAAACCGCGTTTTTTGCTTCAAAGTGTTCCCAAAAAGTGAAAAGTTGAAATTTCGAAAAACCCTTCCAGCGTTACCTAGGGAAAACGATTATCTAACGAAAAAACTTTGATTTTTTGCTGCCATTTCCCTATTGTTTAATATTTCTACATGAAAATTTGACACAATATTCTTAAATGTTATACTTTAATGTACCATTAGTTTAAATAAACAGATTTTGACTGTGTGTCAATAAAAATTCACAAAAATGTGTCTTTTTGCACGAAATAACCTTACCCCCCCTTTAAGACAAAGAGTTTTGGACACATTTAGAAACATTAACGGAAATACACTTGATAGGGTTGTGCTGTCATTAATTGTCAAAAATGTTTCGATGCAAATGGACGTCATTTTGCAAATCTGTAAATTAATATACAGTTACGAAGCAGTTAATATAATTAGATTTTTCATTACATTACAACTTGTAAAATATTTCTGTCGTGATTATCATTTTCAATTTGTATCTACTTGTAGGTTGTTCAAAGGTTTAAGTGTTAATTTCTGACTTGCTTTTTTTTAACACATAGTTGGGAATTTGTCCCAAAATATCAGATTTATTTTCTGACAAATAAATCATGGCCTCCTTAGAAAAAGAGATCTAACTTTACGAAGTGTGATATTTCGATGATACTCAAATCTTTTAGGCACTTGTGAGACATCTCAAGCCTGGAAATTTTTCGATCTTTTTAAAAACCGAAAAATCCAATATGGCGGCCATAAAAAAAATTAAAATTGATGCGAATTGCGGGATAACAAAAGACGATTGAGACATGTCATTTACGCTATCTTATTCGTCTTAAAAAAGTGTCCCAATAATGTCACATTTTGACAGCTGTCACATTATTCGTTTCGGATTAACAGACGAAAAATTAAATCCGCAATTTTCGGTTTTTCGCCGATATTTACATTACCAACTGACCGATCGTAAATCCTCTAAAACTTTTCCCATTTATCCTTTGCTGTAGGTATAATAGGAGCCGAGATCCCTGTATAGAAAAGCGAATCTGGGACACACTATATACAAAAATAATAATATTGAATTAACCAAATGAAAAGCTATTGCCCCTCTCCCCACCCCATGAATTTAAAAATATAAATTCGTTTAAAACGATGTGTCATTCGACCCCCATTTCCATAAGAGAACATTTTTTAACATATTTCTATATAAATGAGCCAATTTTCAACTATCTGAAAGAAAACTTGAAATTTGAAAGATAATGCTGCCCTTTTACAATTTCATAAACAAGGTGCAATTTTTCATTTATTTTTAATATTTATTGTTTTTGTTACAGTCACAATATGTCTTCATTGCAGACTGGGGAAACAATTAAAAGTGGTAAGTACCTATGATTATTTTAAAATTTCCATTCTATCGAATTTTAGGCTAGTATGTAATTTTCAATTGCAATATCCACAACATACTTTGAAGTAAATTATTTTCTTTTGTTTTTTTTTTGTCTAATACAGGGTTGGCAGGTACATGTTTTTTTTGCACCTAGGTTTTTGGTTTTTAACTCATCATCAAAGGTTATACCGCTTCTTGATATTGATATTAATGAAAGTGACAATTTAATTTTCATTTTTTAGTTTTTTGTTTGTTAGCAGAACGTGATTTTTTAAATACGAGGATGGGATGAAAAGTTTCTGGCCTAACCTATAGTAGGCCCGATTTGCTTTCCTGTTCCAACGTGTCTGTGTAGCCTTGCTTGTCGTCAGTATACGCTCGAAGTTTAAGTGCGTCAAGTAGTTTGTGTCCTGGGTATTTTAAAAGATCATAAAGTGCGCCACTTTTAAAAGATGAAAAAAAAAACGAGATAAGAGCGGTGATAAAATATTTCCATATCAAAGGATTATCGCCGACGGAAATAAAAGCTGAACTAGATGCTACACTAAGAAAAAGAGCGAATTCACTATATTTTATGTGAAGTTTTAGGTATGAGAACGCTATCCGCCCGATGGATGCCGCGTTTGCTCACGTCAGATCAAAAGCTCACGCGGCTAAGCATTTCAGAAGAGAATTTGGCACTGTTTAGACGTGATCCAGGGGACTTTTTGCGTAGATTTATTACGGTTGATGAAACGTGGGTTCATCATTATACCCCTGAAACTAAACAGTCCAAACAGTGGACGGCAAAGGACGAACCAGTTCCAAAGAAGGCAAAGGCAGTACCGTCTGCTGGAAAGGCCATGGCAACTGTCTTTTGGGATGCTAAATAGATTACCTCGAAAAGGGAAGAACAATAAATTCCGAGTACTACAGCGACTTACTGGACCAGCTTAAGCAGAATATAAGTGAAAAACGCCCTGGTTTGGCAAAAAAGAAAATTCTGTTTCATCAGGTCAACGCACCTTGCCACAAATCCGTTCTTGTAATGGCTAAAATGCATCAGCTAGGCTTTGAACTGTTAAACCATCCTCCGTATTCGCCAGACCTAGCCCCGTCAGACTTTTATTTGTTTCCAAACCTAAAAAAATTCTTGCTGGCAAAAAAATTTCTACGGATTTAGAAGTAATTGCAGCCACAAACGCCTATTTTGACGAGTTGGATAAATCAGACTACAGTGACGGTATTAAAGCGCTTGAATCGTTGGGTAAAATGTATTACCCTACAAGAGGACTGTGTAGAAAAATAAATTCTTATTCGGTCACTATTGTGTTGCGTTCTATGTTAGGCCGGAAACTTTTCATCCCATCCTCGTATATAATAAAATTCTATTTTTCAAGTTCTGCTTGTATTTTTTGTTTAACATTAATAATAATAACTTTTGACATACATGAACTAAAAACCTTAAAACCTATAAAACATTAAAATCTATAACACCCTATAAAATCTTAACCTATAAAACCTTTAAAAAACTATAAAACCTTAAAAACTGCATGAAATCTTAAAAAACCTATAAAACGTTAAAAAACCTAAATAACCTTTTATATTTTTTTAATTCTTAGGTTTTTCCAACCCTGGTCTAATAGTAGGAGATCCCACTGCAAATGTCCGTCATCTGATAACAAAATGAAATATGTACTTAACCAAACGGCATCTGTGCCAATCACTATTCTGAGTAAAAAGGGGTTAAAATAATTTATTTTATGTACAAAACAATCACATAAGACGACAGCGATAATTTTGTTTGCCCTGAAAATTACAATCTCAATTTATTGTGAACCTAACCTAGCTTTTAAACCTGAATTACTATTATTTTTACCTACCTTTTAAACCATGTTTATCTGTGAAAGGAAAAAAGACTGGCATTGGATAAACCATTTGTCGCAGATAGCAGATAGTAGTGTTTTTGTCGTTTCTATGACAGCCTGTAAAAATGAATCAACAATTAGTATACAAATAAATCTTCAAATCAGCAAAAATTGATAAATATTGTAAAGGAACCAAATATTTTACATGGACAGACTTAAGGGGTAAACGGCCCATATATTTTTATATGGGCAGGCTTAAATGATGAAGAAAAAACATTGTTTGAAGTTCAAACAATTTGTAAATCTTAATCAAAAAGCGACATAGAATAGTTCTTAAAAACCAAGGTTGGCAATGTGGTTTAGGCCCGAGAATACCGATCAAGGAGAAGCGACAGCTTGGTGTTTTCAGTGTACCGTTTTGTAACGCGCATGTGCGAAAATAAGTTGTGTATCACTCAAAATGATGTTATCTGTCAAAGTCAGTCCAAGTTGTGTTTAGTACGTGAGCAATGTTATGGGATAAGATGAAGATTTTTTACACACTTAGGTATTCTAATACAGATATAAAATATGCCAAAAAAGTTATTTTATTTATTTTATCAAATAAATATTAAGTATAATGATTTAATCATTTTTGACATTTTATTTTTCATATGTAGGCATTGGATTTTGTGAAAAATATGTTTCTCTTCTTTTAAATTAATTTAATAAACAATGAACTGCAGATTTTGTTTATTTTGAAATTATATTTAAAAAATATAATAAATCCGCGTGTTTCAATTAGGATTGGTCAAAGTGGGCGAAATCCCTTTATTATGGCTAAATTGTAAGTTACAATTATGTTAATATAAAGATATTTTGTCAATTCATATTTACATTTAGGTATTGAATGAATCATACTGGAGTTGATTTTAGAAATATTGGTACATACTTAAATAAGTACTATTTCTAAAAATTTGTCTATGCCCATACAGCACACATAGTCCAATGGACGTCCACTTTAGATCCATTTGAGGGTTAGGACGTCCATATCCGGGCATCCAGTGTACGCCCGTTAATGTAAATAATTTGACAGCTGAATATCGGTACCCAGAGAACGTCTGTTTTTGGACTTAATTTTAAGTTAAGTAGTATTTTGACGTCCAGTAGACGTTCATCTTAGATCATTATTTATTAAGCCTACCAGATAATACCCATCTATATACACTTCTTTTTTTTAATATAATTGGTCATTAAAAATTGACTAATTGAATCTATTGCATTTCATTCTATCAGCGGAAATTTGAAATCTTATTCCTTTATAACTATATCTAGTAAAAAGTTTCCAAGTGGTCGAGCTCGACTAGCGATTGAAAGCGTAAAACCATAATGGATGTGTCGTGAGTTCGATCCCTGCTCAGGTCAAGCAATCTTTATTAAAAAAAAAAAAAAATGGTGGACACTCCTCTGAATGGTCAAAAGTGTGCTATTTGTATACTTCACTGGATGTCCATTGGATGTCGGAAGTCCAGAAAAAACTCATTTTTGGACGTCTAGACATCCAAAATTGTATATCGAATGGACGTCCAATGGACATATTTGTATTGTCTGGGTGATAGCCAGGCCAGGTATTTAACTCTAAATACATAACCCTTAAATGACATCTGGCTTATCTTTGCGAGAAAACACTTGTTTCTACAGAAATGAGTAATAAACTTGAAAGTCCTTTTAATATAAATCCAGAAATTCTAAAAATATGTAAGTACTTTTTAAACCTAAAAGCTTTGAAAATTATGCACATTGCAAATATTTAGTTAAACCTCTCAAACTTAATGTCTTTTTAATTGTTACCTAAATTTTTTTTGGTACCCTTAATTTTATTTACCTTATTTTTACTTAAATAAATTTTTGACAATAAATAAACCAAATATTGAACAAATATTATAGATAAATTATAAAATAATAAACGTTTTTTACTGTTATACCAAATAATTAATTATTACATAATTAATTATATTTTGGTGCCGAATTTCACCATTGCTATTAACTCTAACTACTTCAATGTAATTTTATCACATTACAACATTTACGCATGGACTATAACAATGATTTCAGATAATTTGCCAAACTATTTCGCTCAGTGTAGAAAATAAGCATGTTTTCTCAGCGTATTAAGTTGTGTATCAATTAAAGTCATGCTGTGAAAAAGGTCCATCCGATATCAAAGGCACCGAGAGCTACTGTCGCTTCACAGCTTATACAAAAGCTGTGGTCGCTTCTCCTTGATCGGTATTCTCGGGTTTAGGCTAAGTAACGCCAAAATATTTCACAAACATTTACAACGCTCAATACTTCTCATCGTCTTTCGTTCAAAATTAAATAAATTTCCTTTTTTTGTTGTGATACAAGTTTGCCCGTGGAGACCTCAGTCCAGGTAAGGTGAGAACAACCAATTAAGGACACCTCGAATTTTTTTTCTGTTATTTTTCCGCTTTCGATAAAACTTGTTTTAAATTGGGTATTGGTGTTTTATTTAAAACATCAACCCCTAGAAATAGTCTACAAATGATCAAGGGTAATATACCAAGACCTTGATAATAGTCGACTATTTTTGTTCAATCTAAATATCGAGAATATTTTAATATCAATTTGCTTTAATCAATTGATTATTAATGCCAAAATTATGTAGAATCAAATTGTAAAATGTTTGAAAAATTTTGCAACAACAAAAAATCAAGGTCGTGTTATATTTGTGACGATTATTTCACTAGACCAAATATAGACTATTTCTCTAGAGAAATAGTCGCTGATATTTGGTCTAGGGAGATAGTACTATTTAGTATCATGATCAATAGTCACTGATTATTTTGCATGTTGCTCCATATTCATCTTTGACGATAACATCAGGCTAAAAATGTATATTTAATTATTTTGACCTTGATAAATTAGCACCTAATTTCATTTTGTTGTAAAATTTCTCTTATAATAATCTGTAGATACATGATATTTTTTCGACTTTTTCACCATAATGACGTGATGAAGCCTCTGATGATGCCGAATAGGCTAATTTTTAATCAAAATAAATTTAGGCACTTTATACTTTGTTTCAAAAAAAAAAAAAATGATATACGTAAGGGTAGATGTTGGTTGACAAGGTTGGATGGAATAGTCATGATTTTTATAATAAAGTAAAAAATCCGATTTTTTTAATTAATTAAAAAAAAAAAAATTATTTACTAAAACAAAATAACAAAACATGCATTTTTAATTGATTAAATATTAAAAACGTAAGACACTTATTAGTTATCAAGAATCTTCATTAGAAAAGATAGTTTTTCGGCGTTATCCACTCCTAGTCGGTTGCGTTTGTTTTGTCTCTTCGGGGACATTCTCACAATTACTTTTCTTCATCCGGCTAATCATAGCTTGAATTGCTTTGCACAAAGCTTTTTTGTTGGTTGGATATCGTTTATTGCACTCCTCAAAATACGACAACACGCTAACTACTCTACATTCATTGCGTTCGGTCTGCCAAGTTCTTTTAACTCCTTTAACACTTTTTACTCCAAACGACCCTTTTAGCGTTCGGTTTAGTCCGATTAGTGACAGTTTAACCCGCTTAAATGTCATTTAAAAGAGTACCCTAAAAAACTCCACTATTGTCCCGCTCCACCCCCTGACTATCCGAACTCGCCTATCAAGTAATGCTGGTCACAGAACAATTACTCTTAGAACGGTAACTCCCCATGTTAGAAAACGGTGATAGAATTTCAGCGCCACCTGGTGGACGTGGTTAACTTTTTTCAATTAAGTCCTTATCTGGTAAGAGGCCATATGAAAAACGTAAAAAAAGAAGAGAAGAAAAGCGCGGGGCCATTCAAATTTGACAGTAAAAATTACTCGCATTAAAAACTGTTAGCCAAATTAAGATTTGTTCACACAAACTGCATTTTTGCGTTATTATAGCGATATTCGCTATAATAAAGCAAAAATTGAGATTGCATGAACCAATCTTAACTTGACTAACAGTTTTTAGATAAAACAAGCATAATCAAAAAATTAATTTATTATAAATATATATACAAATCCAATATTATAATAGTATATTATTAAACGAGCAATTTATGGTAGCCATTATTCACCCGAGTGAATAATGGCCATAAATTGCGAGTCTAATACTATACTTTGTCCACGACCATTATGGTTTCTTTAGTAAATAAAAGTTAAGTGAAAGTTTTTATTAAACATAGGTAACTAACTGTTTTTTTCAACTTTTCAATTTTCCAATTTTTCGAATTTCTGATTTTTCAATTTTTCAATTTTTGGATTTTTGGATTTTTCGATTTTTCAATTTTTTGACTTTTCAATTTTTCGAATTTCTAACTTTTCGATTTTTTTATTTTTTGATTTTTCGACATTTTTCGAAATGGGGTAATAGAGAATGTTTGTCAATAGTAAGGCTGGTAACCGTGACCGGTTCCGTAGGGCCAAAAAACCGTTAAAGAACGTAACCGGTTTAACCGCAACCGGTGTAACTCTAATCAAACCGGTTAAACCTGTCACTTGTTGAGCCGTAACTGGTTTAACCGTACCCGAAACCGGTTTTAGCGAAACGTAAACGAACAAGTATAGTTTGTTTGAACACTTAGTAGGGATGCGCATTTCCTAAAACGTCGATACTGATATCGAATGATATACCAAAAACAAGGTATCGATGGCATTAAAATGACCGAAATGAAAAAAACGATATTTATAAACATCGATGTTTTTAAAACTTATACATTGTAAGTAAAAGTACCTAAGTAATACAAAATAAAAAAATGCAGACAAATATAAACATTCCAAATATAATAATAAAATAAAGCAAACTAAGAAAATTATTATTTTTTAATAAATGTACATCACAGTTATCCAAAATATGTTTCAAATTAAACTTTTTCATTGACTATTGTGCGATAAAAATTTATATATTTTTTTAATTGTGACCGATTTAAATAAAGATACAATATGCTGAAGAATGGAAAATATCGAATAAAACATCGATGTCGATCGATGTTAAACCACCTAATCCGGTCTAACCGGTCCGATTCGACCGGCTCGGTTTGATCGAACCGGTTAACCCGATAATCTTACCGGATAATAGGACCGGTTAACCGGATATCCGCACCGGTTAACCAGATATCCGTACCGGTTAACCGGATAATCGTACCGGTTAACCGGATATCCGGACCGGTTATAAAAATCCGGTTAAAACCTAAACCGGTTAAAATCAATCGAACCAGTTAACCGTTTATCACGTCAGGAATTGACAGCCTTAGTCAATAGGATTAGGATGCAACTCTATGAGCGCAGCAATAATTTTTATTGTTTATCCCACGTGAGAGTAATTGTAATAATCATTTTTCTATTTCACACTAAATAATGTTGATCCACCAGCTTGTAGATCATGATGGTAATTTTTAATTATTACTCCTAAGTGAGATGAATAATAAAATGACAACTCCTAGCTCCGATAGAGTTTTACCATGTGTATTGACACAACATAAACAATTGGCATTCTACCACACTCTACTTCTTTGGTCTGTTATAAAAATTTCTTAAAATATGCACTACAAACAATCAAATAATCAACCACCTTAATCTATTGACGTATTTGTCGCTTATTTAAGGACATGCAAAGTTAAATATGGATCCCTCATAAAAATTAAACTGCCGCTATTGTTAGTTTTATTACTTATACTTAGATTTTGGTAAGATATCTGACAACTGATGAGCAATACATCACACCAAACCTACCAAGTTATTTACATCACATTCAAAATGTTACTATAGTGTTAATCTACAATCAATTTTCTTTTAATTTCAGAGTCAGACGACGAATTTTCCCCTCTAAGGTGCTGGGAGTGCAACGTCAACTTCACTTCCAAGCATTTTTTATACTCGCATCTGTTCCATCATATCCGTCAACCTTACGTTATCCTCGAACGCGTGCAGCTGCCGCCCCTTAAGCTCACTCTCAAGAGTAAAAGCGGTAACAATTTCGAAATAGTGAACAATAACTCCCCCAAGGCCGAAAATATCGATTCCCCTACAATAGAGAACGCAGAGTTCTCAAACTCTTTCACGATTGTGCCCAAAACGGAAGACCTCGAGGATTCCGCTGGGGCTCAGAGCGCAACGCTCAGCAATATTTCTGATACATTAGTTAAAACAGACAGCAACCTGGCAGTTATTAAAGAAGAGATAGAGGCAGAGCCGGAAAAAGCAGCTAGCGAACCTTTGGAGAAGTTGAACAGCTCTGAAGATAACGCTGCTGATAACGGCGAAACTTTATCTCCTGAATTCTCAAACGTGGATGAGCTTCTGCAAGGTGAGTTTTGATTAATAATATAAATAACCGTAGTGGGCAGGGCCGGATTAAGCACCAGCGGCGCCCCGGGCCAAAACTTTTAAAGCGCCCCTTCCCAACAATTAATTTTTCAATTTATTATTAAGGTATAGACATGATCAAAAGAATTATTCAGTGCATTTATTTTGAAAGAATATTAACATAACAAAAAATAACATTACAAACATTTCAAGATAAAAAATCAATAAAACAAAAACTTTGAATCCCATTTCTTTTTTATTAAAGTGTCTTTCTTAATTTGCTTGAAATAAAAAGCGATATAACTTAATATAACAAGTTCACTCTTAATGCACAATAAAGCTAAATTGCTGGTCTTCGAATCAGATTTCTTAAATAGTTCTTGACTCTACATAGTGTTGAAAACGACGTCTCTCCTGTAACATTAGTTACCGGTATTGTCAAAAAAAATGTTTAAAGCAGTGTCGATATTTGGATATGTTGCAACTATTTTAAGTCTTCTCAGAACTTGTAGTATCTTAGCCATATTGTAGTTTTCTTCTTTGTTTTCTTCTTTGTTTTCTTCCTTCAAAGCTTTTAGAACGTATTTAAATTGTATACATTCTTCTGCAAAATCTCTATCAAGTTCATACTGATAACTCTGCCATAAATTTGCTGCCTCTATTGAAATTTGATTGTCCGAAAGATTACATAACGATCCCATAAATCCAAACGTGTTTGAGACCCTTTCATAGGCTATTTTTCTTCGAATTAGTTCTGATGACAAATTATCTAATATAACGTAAAATGTGTTAATTTTCATATTTTGTTTTTAGGAATGGGTCAAATTTGGCAATTAGTACAAGTGTAGCCAAATAATTTCCATATTGCTCTTCACCTGATCTTTCTATAGTTCCCCGAAATGCTAATCCTTGTTTAGATAAAATTTTTATAGTTGTTATTATCCTTTTCAGAAGGTTTCTCCAATACTCTTTTTCTATTAAGTATTGTTTTTCGATGTTGCTATCTATTTTTCCGAGTACAGTGGAACGTAATGTATACGTTTCTGTATTTTATCGATGCTCTATAGATTTCTCGTGTTCCCCTATTCTTTCTAGATGCTTCCAATCATTAAATCCATTGACAAATTGTGAAAGGTTTGATCCGAATAATTTACACTGCAAACAGTACATTTTGTTGGTTGATGGAGAGTATAAAAGCCATTCCCTCCGGATATTCTCGCCATTTATTAATTTCACGAAAAACATTTTCTTTGATGCGTATCGACTGCGATTTTCATTGGGATACAGTCTTTTTGACTGTTCAAAATCTATCTGTTCCAAATTTTGAGCGAAAGGATTCTTCACTATATACTCTACCAATTCAGTATTAATTACCGACACACCTGGGTGTTGTGAGTGGTAATTAGAAGGCACAAGTTTCGTCAATTCTAACAAAAAAATAATTACTTAGGTATAAAACATAATTATTAAATGTACCTTTGCACTTACCACCAACAGTAACCACATTGTTTATGGTAGCGACAATCGCATTTTTATCTGAATTTTCCGACCACGTCCCTGTTCCTGATGTAGATGAATATGTTATTACGTTATTATTGTCATATTCTTCGTCTTCCATATGTGGCTGTATTAAATTCGTCTCACTAGTTTTGGGTGCAATTTTAAAATAATTGTCTAGTTTTGGAACTTTTTTCAACAATTCTTTAGATTTCTCTTCCTCCTTCCTAAGAAGTTTCCTTCGTCGAGCTCCACTTAATTTACGTGAACTCATGATTCTAGTAGTAACAAAAGAACTATGCTACTATGAACTAATGTCACTACTGATAAACTATCCATATATTTCGTAGCTACAACTTCGTCACCAGTCACAACACAACTCGCAATATGACACATGCCCACACGTATTTTATTCAACTGAATCATATTTTAAGTCATCATAGGTTTGTTTTGGTTCACATTCTAGAATTGTTCCAGAACCATGCGCAGAACTATTGCGCAATGGTCCTTAATTCTGAACAGTTCTGTAACCATTCAATTGTATTCGAAACCAAAACACTGCCAGAACAGTTAAATGTCAAAAAATAAATTATAAATAAGAAAGAAGAAATAACACAGGGTCAGTGTCTAGGCAAGAAAGAGGCCACATAATATTGTAAAACGTAGATAAATTAAATAATTTATTCGTAACAATCCTTTGACCCTACATCAACTACTCCATTCTCATTAGTCATTTGAAAATTCCTTGTAAAAATTCCAACACAAAACATGGCCAGATCTCAAAAACAAAACTATTTGCAAAAAAGCGCAAGCGCAAACATATCGATTCTGAAACAGTTCTCGCTTTAGGCCAGAACCGACGTTACTGTTCGAAAATGGTTATGGAACCATTCTCAAGAAAAACCAAAACACAGAACTTGCAGGTTCGGAACTGTTTTGGCGAAACCAAAACAGCAAATATCTACTGCACATGCTCCCAAGGTTCTGGAAGAGTTCTAGAACAGTTACGAAAGTGAACCAAAACAAAGCTCATCGCGTCGGCGGTGCACGCGCACATCACAGGCATAGCCGGTGCTCAGCCGTAGCCCAGTGCAGGATGGAAGTTAGGTGAAAAACAAAAAATAAAAATAAGGTACGGCGCAAAGTACCTGATACATGTGATAACTTTATGTGTGTAACATCGGAGTACCCCAAGGCTCTGTCCTTGGTCCCCTTTTGTTTTCCATATATATTTCAGACCTTTATAAATTATTGGAGCATGTAAATATACACTCTTTTGCTGACGACACGCAAATATATTATTCCTTTGACCCATGTGAAGTAGATATAGCCTCGCAAAACATGAATTCAGATCTAAATGCAGTATATATATTTTCTATGAATCATAACCTTAAACTTAATGCCAGTAAATGTCATACAGTACAGTACAAAAAAATATAGAACATAATGTGCAACAGAACCTCAAGTTATTCATTCAAAATGAACCTCTAAAATCATGTAGAAGTTCTAAAAACTTAGGCATTATTTATGACTGCATACTAAGGTTTCAGGACTATGTTTCGCTTCTAGTCAAAAAATCGTATCTGGTTATTCGTCAATTATACAGGAATCGAGGTATTTTGAGTTTCAAATTACGTAAGTTGCTTTGTGAAAGTCTTGTATTGTCCATCCTAAATTATGGACTTTTAATTTACTATCCTTGTTTGGATCAAATAACCAAATACAGACTTCAAAAGATTCAAAATTGTTGTTGTCGTTTTGTATTTGGTATCAAAAAGTATAATAGAATATCAAATAAAATTAAAGAACTTAGCTGGGCTCAATATAGGAAATTTATTTAAATATCAGATGGCGGCCACGGTATTTCGAATTCTTTCAACCTCAACTCCCATATACTTAAAAAATAAATTGATATATCGGAAAGATCTGCACAGTTTACATTTGAAATATCCACACAACTTAACGATTCCGAATTACCGATTATCATTTTTCAAAAGATCTTTCACATATAACCATGGGCGAAGTTAGGGGGGGGCTTGGGGGGGCTTGGGGGGGCTAAGCCCCCCCAAAAACCAAATTAGCCCCCCCAAAAATAATTCAAACATTTATCGCACATCCATCCACACATTTCAGATTTCAGAAAAGAAATTAATAAATAAAAAAAAATCGTGCCTTTTGATTGATTCTGAAATTTTATATTTAGTTCAGGAGGCAGTGAATTTTACTCGTACTCATTTTTCCAATCGGTGTATATGAAAATAAACTGTTCTCTTAGTGACAAAAAACCAACATTTTGAGTCTGACACTTATTTTCCCAGTCATAAATATTTTACATTTACTAAACTACAACATAAAGTTTATAAAAATAGCAGTTTGGAATATATCAGATAGTGGAAAGTGAGTGTGGCAGAAAATTTAGCATATAAATTGATACAATCATGAACTGTTAATAATAATAAATCTAGCTGATTTACGAAATTGGCAAATGAGTCTGGTAACATCTTTAAAATCGAAAAAATATAATATTTTTGATTTTATTTTCCCGGGTTTGAAAATTTGTCACGTGATAGATTGTATTATAATTTTACAGCTCTATTTTATAGCAGATCAAATACCGTTATTTTAAAACGCTTCCATGAAAAATTTCCGGAAATTTTCCTTTTGGTGGGTACCCTGAACGAAATTATACTGAAAATTGTTTTGACAGTTGAGAAGCTCTTTTATGCATATGTTTTATATGCTGTTCTATGGCCAGCTTTGAAAATTTGATTTTAGTCGTTTTAATGCATGTCTGTCTTAGGCACTAGTGGTATTCTAAGTGAAAATATACGTCTGGCTGACAATTACAATCACGAAGGCCTGCCAGACTCACAAGTAGTGTCCGACCGAAGGTTCGGTTACGGTTTTGGCCAACTTCGGCTTAAAATAAGAGTTTCGAAAGTTTTCGTATCACACTTGGTTGTGTCCGGCACAATGGCGACTGTGCCGGGTGCCATTCCTACACAGTGCACGTACTTCTCTGCTTTGTTTCAAGTGAACAGTCTTCAGTGATCCTGGCCTAATTTATTCGGATCGAAGGAGCAATTTTTTAGGTGAAACGTGGAAAAAATATTATTTCTAGCCTACCACGTTAGACTGTTTACTTATGAATAATTATTTGATTATAAGTAACAAACATATTTAATTATCTGAATTTGTTTTTTTTTTAATAAAAATTACATTATATATAATTCCATTCATATTATTTTTTGTTACAAAAAATCTAGAGACAGATGCAGGAATGATTGCTACTTTGTAATTAACTTATTTTTTTTTAGTTTCAAAAGTAATAAAAAAAAACAATGTCAATAAATTTATTAATGGCTTCTTGATCACTTAAATAAATAGGTAATAAGTAAATGTAGCTAAAATTTATAGTACGAGTTAATTAGTCTTAAACAAGGATTACAATAAGATATTGCAAATTTCAATAAGAGATTGCCTTAAAAGAAAGTTCTTATTTCTGTTTCGGTTTCGACCGAAACTAAGAAAGGTGCCGAAATTGGGTTTTGGTTTTGGTTATAAAACCGTATTTCGGTCGGACCTGACAAGCCAGGTAGTTAAAAGAGGAGAGGAATAGTAATCGAACGTGCAGAATTTAGCGCGCCTGACGATCATTAGACAAGTCCGGCAAGGCTTTCGGGGTGTTCCACATTAGCCAGATTGTATTTTAAGCTGTTATCATAATATACATTTTTCCAGTACTGAGAACACTGGTAACAGGGATCCTTACTGGACATTGCCAACTAAAAGGACACCTTAGTAAACTGAGAGTAGTAGAAAATAGTGAGTGAAGATTCTGTGAGGAAAAGGACGAAACCTTCATTTACATTCTAACTGAATGTGTAGCACGCCAGAATCCAAGGGCACTATACCTAGGAGCATATCAAATAGAAACTTGAAACCTCTCCAAATCCTACACTTCCTTGAGAAGATATAATTGAAAGGGTCGTTATAGGCATTGAGACATTTCCTTGCTGCATTAGCGACAGAAGAGGGCACAATAGATATTTTAGGTCGCAGTGTATTAACACCCCATTCCCAACATAACATAACATAGCGAGAAAACTGCAAAATAATGAAATCCACAAATCACAGTTCATCCAACTACTAATATTTTTAAAATTTTAAATTCTAACAAACTGTTAGTATATTTTTTAGTCATTAAGATAACATATACGTTAAAAGTAGTTATTTTTGTTTAGAATCGATAAAAAATAGCATTTTAATTTTATTTGGGCCACATTTAAAAAAAGTAAATTTTAATCAAATTGTATGAAACTAATTTAATTACGAGTATTAAAATTAAAAACCTAAAAGTGGCAGTGGAGATGAGGACAGAGCATTTGCCTTCCACGCGAATAGCCTGGGTTCGAATCTGGACTAGGGGCTAATTTTCTTTGTTTTTTATTTTATAAATTATTAAAATTCATAAATTATTTTAAAATTGCTTATTTTGTCTAAACCTAAAATAATTTTTTAAATTTGTAGATTTTCATTAGTGGTTCGTAGAAAAAATATACTGTACAACTTGAGTGAATTGTCCATATCTACTTTTGTTGCGAAAATTAGGGAAATTTTTGTGATGAAAATTATTCAGTTTTTTCACTTATATATGTTATTTTATTCATTTTCATAGATTCGCCAGAATTTTTTTACTATACCTCTAGAACTATTATATATTATATGACTAGGGCTAGGGCTTTAGCCCCCCCAGATCTGATGACATAACTTCGCCCATGCATATAACGCCATTTCAATATTTAACAGTCTACCTAGGGAAATTAGGACACGTTCTCTGACATTTTTAAAACAAAATTATAAAACGTTGCTATTAGTTGAGCAATGAATACAGTGCTAACGTTAATATATTATTAATTTCAAACATTTTTCCTTATTTAATTGTATTTTAAGTTCCATTGATTTTAGTTTAGATTAAATACAGGGTTAACATTTTTTAATCATAAATTAATTGAATATTAAATTTCTTTTTTTTTTATATTGTAAATGATGGATACCTTTTGATTATTTTAAATTTATATTTATGTTGAGGTTAAGTTGAGTAGCGCAAGCTAGACTTCGCCGCATGATGTTTATGTGCATTGTATATTACAAGCAAATAAAGGCATTTTATTATTATTATTATGATAAGTTAATGTTAAGCAGTTCACACTCGCCTCGGCGTGACGCGGCGCCCCCCCCTGGCGTTGCGCCCCTGGGACATGGCCCTACTGG